GAAGAGACCTATGGCCGACACTATACTTGCAGCATCCACGTTGGAATTGTACTCCAATAATCTCGGTGATTCCCTACCCTCGAGCGACCTATCAAAACTACTTTTACTCATTAAACCCCGATTGCTCGGTCCGTGATCATTTCTCATGTCGCTCCTAGTTGGGTGGCACCCGAATCCGTTTCCTCTTCTGTCCAAGTCGTACCCTGATACTGGTGATGGAACGGCCTTGGCTCCTGGTCAATAATCCTCTTAGATCTATCATTCGCTTTGTTAGCATAAACAAACCCCGAGGGCCCTCCAGGTCGTCCTCGACTCTGATCTTCGATTGATGCCTGTTATGGACGTCGGCCCAAGTAACTGCCGGGTACTCCACCAAGTTTTGCTTTAAATGTTGAGAAGCAACGAAACTTTGGGGGTTGAGACCTTGAGTAAACGCCTGAATGGCCCAATCATCTGCGACTAGGGGCAGGTCCATTCGCTCCATCTGGAACCTCGACACGAACTCCCTGAGCATCTTGTTATCCCTCTACTTGACTTTGAAAAGGTCTGATTCTCGACCTTGATGGTGCCAGCATGGGCTTTTACGGAATCATCCGTAAGCATAGCAAATAAATTAATAGAATTTGGAGGCAAGTTGTGATCCCATATCATCGCTCCTTTGGACAAGGTTTCGCCAAATTTCTTCAATAACACTAATTCGATCTCGTCGTCTTCCAGGTCATTCCCCTTGATTGCACACGTATAGGAGGTTACATGCTCGTTTGGATCTACGGTCCCATTAAATTGGGGATGTCGAGCATTTAGAATCTCTTCGGGATTGGCTTCGGCGCCGCACTCGGGGGAAAGGCTTTTGAATGAATTTTTTTGGAATCTAGCCCCTTCAATATTGGAGGCGCTCCCGAGATCTGATCGACCATGGAATTGTAAGTTTTCACCTTCTTGTCATTGGCCTCTATCTTTTTCTCACTAGACTCCACCCCCTTTGTCAGTGCTTCGAGCATCTTCATCACCTCGGAAGTTCTCCAGCCCGGTCCCGAATACATCCGGTTCAACGGCAATTTTTTTATCCCTTCGAGTGTTTTCTCTGACCCGCTCGGGCTCAATCCTATTAGGGACGTGACTTTGGGTCTGCAACTGCGTTATTGCGGCTTGCTGAGCTTGCAACATTTCGAAAATCAACCGCAAGCTAACTCCATCACCTTCCCCTTCGGGTGCTTCTCGAGCCGATGGTCGCGGTGCCCCGCGAATGCTGTTTCGAAGTCAATTGGCATGTTGATGTTGATGGCAACCTGTAAATTAGCGTCGACCGGGTCTGCGACTGGGACACCATAGGAATCAACATGGGCACGTCATTGCCAGGTACCACATTATTATTTTCACCGTGGTGGCCGACTCGGCGTCAACGTTCAAGTTAGCAGACTGAGAATTTGACATTCTTAGGTTAACCTGAAATCAAACTTCAAAGAACAAGTGTAAAATAGAGTGTGTTATGGAGGTTCGTATTAAATCACGATTATTATTCTTGGTCCCACGGTGGGCGTCAAACTATTTACCGTTAAAAATGAGTAACAATTAAATTTGTTCGCGGTTTAAAGGATACATGATATAATTTAATACGAATGATCTAAGAACAACAAATAACTAAATTAAAGAGAGATAAAACGATCAAACCAAACGCGATGGAACAATTAAACCTGATTTTGAATTGAACACTGAAACTGGCTCGAGCCCTCGATTCAGGCTCGGTTGTAAATAAAGAAAAGTAGAACTAAAGAACACTTTGAACAACAGCTAGAAGACAAAAATAAACTTTATTGCCTTGATATGTGTGCCAACAGTAGTTTAAAATGAAAACATTCTCCCTTTATATAGTAGGGGAGTTTCATTCTTAGTACAAGTCTAAATAAGGTAAAAATCTTCTTTTTTGTGTAAATGATGATCTACAGTTGATATCGGGCAGGATTTGCACCGTAATACCCGGTTGAGGGCGGATATCATGGCTTCCGGCTTATCGTGCTTAACCGTTCCTCTTTTTCCTTAGTCTCGAACCTCCACTCTGCCCGGACCTGATGCTCAGCCATATCCGATCCCGGATGCACAGTCTGTCCTCTACGTTCTCAGAAACGAGGAACCTTTCGGCTTTACTCAAGGTTGCGTCAGATCATGCTTCTCTCTCGTTTCTTTACCGAAAAATCAATGGCAACATTATCTCCGATCGTGCTAGAAAATAGTAGATATGATATCTCAAAAGGAAGTGTCTGGATTCATATTTTTTGAAACTGTCTAGATTCATTTTGTTGGACATTTAGCGTCTTTACTATTTCATATAATAGTGGGTCATTATTTCATATTTGTATCTGTTGGACCATTACTCACCTCCTTCCTTCTGCTGGATTTTCTACCAAGAATAAATCTTTGTTAGTTTCTGCTCCTAGTTTTATACCAAAAGAGCTTGTTGAATCCCGGGGTATACACCCAAATCGGGTGAAATATCTTTAAGGACAGTGTCTTTAGCACGCCTCAAGCTTTGAAGAATTTCGTACATATTTTATGATCAAGTATTTTCCGTAAGATTTACAACAGATTATACCCGTACACAACGTTCTATTTCGAAAATAGAATGAACCAGATAATCATGTAATGTGCACTCAAATAATATTTTTTCAACAATAGGCACATTTAATTTTGAATCAGTCAAAATAAAAATCAAAAAGTTAAATCTCACAGTAATTGGCAGAAGTCCCACTTAACACACTTGCGTGAATGAACTCAATTGAGGGAAAAACACACTCCTCATTTTCTTTTCATTCCTTTCTTGTTTCTCCTCAAATCTCAACTGTAGTAGTACTGGTAAGGACTGAGTGTGATTTGTGATTGAGATGACAAGAAGAAAAGGAGGTGTTGGGCAAAGAGGGGGAAGAAGGATTGAGTAAGGGACAATTGGATGGGATGTCTGTAGCTCGTTGGGAATAGCTACGTTTGCAGTGACTATGAAACGGCTGATTGACTTGATTCGATAAGATTTTGGTGAACAATGTAATCACCGTTTCAGTTTATGCGAACCTATTTTCTTTTATGTCCGTTCCAGAAAAAATGACCCTTTTCTAAATTTGGTAACAATTTAGCTTAAACTTACAATTCTACCCTTAATGAGAAGCTTTTATAACCACACAAATACTCTGGGCCCCTTTTTGACTTGTTTAGAACCACAAATTCCAAAAGTCTTCATTTTTTCTTACACTTCGTGCCCAGTCAAACAGGTTCACATAAATTAGAACGAAGGGAGTAGTAAGTCTTCATGTTAAGATATGCATTGTGCTTAAAATAATATTGCAGTTTTGTGAGTAAGAAATATTTTTTCCACAAACATTGAAAAAAATTTAGTTTGAAAAACTCACTTTCGAAAATCTCCAAAAGGTTATAAATTTTTATGGACAAACACATATTTTTTTAAAAAAATCGAAAAAAAAAAAATTATGGACACACGGGTCTGTAATACACTGAAATATGAGATTTTGTACAATATCAGATACTACTATATATATAAAAAGACAATCAATGATCTTTTATACTAACATGTAGTAATAACCTGCAAAAGGATGGTAATTTGTTACACACAATAAAAATGCAATGACATTATAATTTTCTTGTACTATTATTAATGCATGTACTTTAAATTCATATTTTTATAAGTTGTTTCTAGTTTAGTCCTAATTTGTTTGATATAATTTGAACGGGTACACAATTATATAACAAACAGAAGATTTTGGCATAAATATAAATATGGATAACATCTCAAAAGTATTATTGTGCAAATAGCCGCAGAACAAAATCATATCAATGACAAAATATTGGGAATATAAAAATGAATATTTGAGATGAAAGATAATGATGGGCCGAATAATAAACAGAGAGTAAATATAAGACAAAATGCAAACGTTAAAGGTATATTTGTATCTTTTCCCATTTTTATAATAAAAGTTCATTAGAAGAGAAGCAAAAATTGTACCAATTAAATTAGAACGAATTGAATAGTATAAAATACAGGAAATAGAAAAATGTCAATAAAACATAGTGACCATAATTAATGAAATTCAAACTCGTAAACTAAATGTTGAATTTTATCTCTTAGTCGCACGGCACACTTTCTATATCTTCCCTGTTCTTTGTTTATCTTCATTATCTTCTGATCGGATCAAACTATGACCCTATTTGGATCATTATGTAATATTTTAGTGGTTGCCGCAAGAGATGACGTCATATATTAGTTTTTCCCAAGGTGAACAATTAGAAATAATAGAGCAATTACTGTTCAGTATTCACTCCAACATTTGTATGATTGCTTGACGCAAGCTCCTTTTGCTCCTCTCTTTTGCCTTGGCTTCAAAGTTTACACATTTGTATGCATCCTAACACCAGAAAACCGTCCTTTCCTCTATTTAAAACACTCTTTTAAATCCTAACCCTTTTATAATTCAACAAATACTAATTATACTTATGTTGTAATCTAGAATTAATGTCTCCAACAAGTTTGAGTGTACTTTAAAGTAGGCTAATTCTCATCATATGCAACATTATTAGTGGTATTATTTATACATTTCTAAAGTTTTTTGAAGTACATATAATATGATTTAGAAAATACGTTTCAAGGAAGTAGCTATCAAGTGACCCACCACCAAAAGCTTCGGAGCGAGCCCGTTTAACTGGACACGGCATTTAAGAAAATAGAGAAGACTTTTGAACTTGTGGTATAAAATTAGACACAAATACTTTGTTTGACTATAAATGCATAAAGATAAATTGTAGGAGTCATTTTATTTTATTTTTGACAAAGACTAAAAAAAAAATAGGTTCAAATAAATTAAAACGGACGGAGTAATTACTTGTATGTAGTAACAAAGAGCGACAAGTAGTCCTACCTACCTTCTATAATTGAATAAATACCAACATATCTCACTCACTCCAAATCTTTAGCTCTTTCTCTGCCTTCTCTTCTTCATTCCCCATACCCCACAAAACTGAAAAACTCTCTGCAGAAACTGAAACTAAAGTTCAAAAATATGAGCAGTGGACCTTGTGGTGCATGCAAATATCTTAGAAGGAAGTGTGTAAAAGGTTGCATATTTGCACCTTATTTTGATACAGAACAAGGCATGTCTCACTTTGCTGCTGTACACAAGGTGTTTGGAGCAAGCAATGCCTCCAAATTATTGCTCAGCATTCCGGCAAACAGGCGTCTCGAAACTGTTATTACACTCTGCTATGAGGCTCTTGCTAGAGTTAGAGACCCTGTTTATGGCTCTGTTGCTCACATCTTCACTCTTCAACAACAGGTGCTTTTTTTTTTAAGTAACTGAAACATAAGACTTGTTTTTCTTAGTTTGCTGTTAGTACTATTTTTGTGCCCCTTGTTATTGATATTGCTTTTTCTACTATCTCTTTCCATCTTTCTTGAGTAGAGCGTCTAATGGAAACGGCTTCTCTATCATCACAGGGTAAGGGGTAAGGTCTGCGTACACACTATCCTTTACAGACTGCATTTGTGATACTTTATTGTTGTTGTTCTTGAAAAATAAGATATGTTACATGCTGTGACTTTTTCTTAGGTTCCTCTTTTCTTACTAGTTCTACTTATGTTTTTTCACAAACTTGACCAAATAAAAGAGAAATTGATTTTTTTTAAATGGTCCTGTGTAAGAAACTCATAAATTATTCAAAGATAAAAGTAAAATTTTTGGATTAACTATGGTACTAGTTAATGTTTTTTAGCCGGCTGTTTGTATGAGTTGATTATTAGTGAAAACCCACTATTTATTTTAAGCTAACATTTCTGAAATGATGCAAATTTTGTGAGTGCTGCCCCCCCTACCCCCCCCCCCCCCTTTTTTTCTTTTTGGTTTATATATGCTGACTTGCAATAATTGGATTGATGTAATAGTTGATTGATGTGGACTTTGTATAGTGTCTTCTTGCTTGACGGGGCTAATAAGCAACACTAATCAACTTTAGCAGCTCGAGAAATATAAAATACATCAATAATTTGACTTAACTGCTTTCTCTGATTTTTTGTCTTTCATGGAAGTCTACAAAATATTGTTAAATGTACTGAGTGGAAGTCTTAATTTGGCATATTCAATTCAGATGCTAATAGGTGTATATATTTGTATGACTTTAAATTTTGTATACTGATAGTGTGTATAACTTTTTATACCATGCTATGACTCTAAGGGATTGTTGGGTAGGGTGTATAAGAATAGTACGGAACACTACAAAAAAAACTGGAATTAGCTACCAACGTCGTCGCTAATCTGTCGCTAAAACGCTCGTAGCTAGCGGAATTTCTTGATAATCCGTTGCTAATCCATCGCTAAATGAGATTAACGACGGATATTTCTGTTTAGCTACAGAATTTGTCCGTCGCTAAAACCTGATTTTTTAGTAGTGGAATTAGGTGTATTAGTAATGCATGTATTAATTATACAGATATTATTTCTTATCTATTGTTTCCTGTGGTGTATTAAAAATTATAATACATTGCATAATTTTTAAGAAAAATAGTTATTTACAAAAATGCCCTCCATATTCTCTAGCTTTAAGGGACTTTAAGGACAACTTTGTCTTTAACCATACCAATGCATGCATTAATAGCCTTGGTATTACTAATGTCATGATTTTCTATGCATTACTTATACATGCTAATACCAAGTATGATGTATAACCAAACAAAGTATTAATAATGCACAGAGCTAATGCGTGCATTATTTTTTTCAATGACTCCTACCAAACGACCCCTGAAAAATCTAAGTGTTTGGTTTTCATATATACGTGTAGGTTGTGACATTGCAAGCAGAGTTAGCTTATGTTCAAGCCCGTCTTTCCACCCTGCAATCTGCTTCTTCAGAACTGGCAGCAACGACTTATTCTTACGTATCTATGGATCCTTTGTTCGATACAACAGTTTTGCATCATGTGTTGGATCAACAACTGGATAATTGTGACCTCCATTCTGTAGCTAGAGATTTCCACTCTACACTCTAATCTAGACTTAGGTTGGGTCTTTAATCGCCATGACAAAGATACTTAACTTAGTTTTTAACTATTACTATCATTTAACTCGCTTTTGTTTATATGTTAATCTTTCTAGTTCTTCTCTAATCAATGCTAATTGTGTTTGATTCTAATCTATGGAACTTTTTCCTTGCTTAGCTTTTAATCTCTTGCTTATGAATAAACTAAATGGAAAAGACTTTGATTTGTTGGATTTCATCATATAAAGTAACTTATCTAGCAGTTAACTTGTCCCCCCATTTCAACTTGGCCTCATTTTCATTTCCTAGCCGGTAACGTCAACTTGCATTAGTTTCACCATAGATTTCACCGATGACAATAAGAACCGAAAAAAGGGATTATTAGCCAATAAGTTGATACTATTTGGGCTTGCAAATTTCCTACTAAGGGAAATTATTCAAGCTTAGGAGCTGGGCATCGCATTTATCAAAATAAAGGGGTTTTGACACAGTTACCCACTAAAACAAGACTATTTATCCTTGTCTACCCATTTGTTTTTCTATCCATAAACTAATTACATTTCCTACCCATTGTAGTTTCTGTCGGGAATTTTTTCTTTATTCTCCAATTCTTTTTTGTTTCTATGCTTCTTTTCTTTCTTTTTTTTACTTTTCTTTTTTCTAGTTTTCTTCTTATTTTTTTCTTTTTTCCTTTTCTAATTTCATTTAACTTCTTTTTTTTATATTCTTTTTCTCTTCATAATCTAATTTCATTTACTGTTTTCACTATTTTTTATTATTCTTTTTTTATATTATTATTAAAGAAAAATCAAATTGTGTACCAATTAAATGTAGCTAATACAACAAAAAAATATTAACTAACATATGATACCAGTATAGTATATAGCTATATCAACAGGGTATACAATTGTACGCAAAGAGTTAAAAAAAATTAATTCAATTATTAAACTGAAATAATATCAGTTGTCAATAAAAATTTCAAAAAATTCTAAAAGAATCTAATTGTAAGAGTATACTGTTATATTATATAGCATACTATATTTTTTTTTTTTTGCATTTTCAATTTGCCCCCCCCCCCCCCAATCGCTGGGTAAAAGCTTAAAGCAAGTTAAAAGGGAAAAGGCAAGTGAATTTACGGGTAATAAGTATACTATTATACTATATTGTATTCTATTACAGCATACTGTTACAGTATATTGCATATTATTACAGTATACTATAACAATATATTGTATACTATAATAGTATACTGTTGCAGTATAACTATATACTCCTACAGTATATTATATACTGTAGTGGTATATTGTTAGGTAACTGTGTTCTTCTTTGATTATTACAATATATACCGTTGCAGTGTATTGTAAGCTATAATAGTATACTGTTGCAGTATAGCTATATACTCCTACAACATATTGTATAATTTTTGACTATTATTTTTGGGGCGATTATATTATGTAGACTCCCCAAACATTTTCCTATGGTTAAGTGGGTGCTCATGATTCAAGGAGAAGAAATATAGCAGAATTCCGGGCCCAAGTAAGTTGCTTTCACTTTGCAGAAGGCCCATACTGGAAGGCCCAATAATTCAAAGACATTGGCGGTGAAAAAGTTCTAGTGAGAAAATTATTTGGATCTTTACATAAATAGCCGTTCATAGTCATTACTCTTTTAGTCATATACACAAATTATACATTCTTAGCATCGATGGCAGGCCTACTTTTACAGCTTGAGACAAGAGTTCAATTCGAGGAAAGCATAAAATTATTATACATAATTATACACATATAATACATAAATTATGCATATATTTTAGCCATCAGCTATTTTTGGTTGAACTTAGGGGTGTTCGTCAGTCGGTACGGTACGGTATTTAGATATTTCGGTTCGGTATTTTTGGTATTCGGTTTCTTAAAATATTATACCAATACCATACCTAATTAAATTCGGTATGGTTCGGTTTTCTTCCTTTCGGTTTCGATTTATTCGGTTCGGTAACTTCGGTTTATTCGGTTTAAATACTAACTAGTGCATAAAGCCATAGACTCTAATATTCTTAATTAAAGTACTCAAAAATACAAAACTGAAAATGTTTGTTGACAAAACTTTTGTCCAAAACTAGCAAATATCGTCCCAAATAGAGAAATTGTATATAAAAGAATATTTGATCATAAGAAATGTCTTGTTACTTGTTTAGTGTTAATTGATGAACTTAGAGAATAAAGGAAAGAAAATATTTAGATTTTTTATATTTATGTTATAATTGATAATATGTGTCTTGTGTAATATAATATATATTTCGGTACGGTATCGGTATTTCGGTATTTTATTTTAAAATACCAAATACCACACCTAATACCAATATTTTTAAAAACTTAAACCAAATACCATACCAAATACCAAAATACCGTTTACCAAATACCAAAATTTTTATTTTCTGTACGGTAATTCGGTATTTACCAAATTATGCACAGCCCTAGTTGAACTGGTTGGATGGCCGGCTATTTGGGTTAATTGTTCAATATTTATTCGCATTAATTTCATCATATTCACTTAACTTTTACTTTATTACACTAAAATTACTGAACTATTTCTTTTATAAAAAATAATAAAAAAGTCACTCAAACTTGGTTAATATAGTAAAAATAGCATGGGGCGTCCTATTTAGTCACCCCCTTTTAACTTATACTCGTTTTGTTTTTCCGTTTGTATCCGTACTCATTTTTTTGTTAAAAACATTTTAAAAAGACGATTTTGCCTTCAGGACTATTGACAAAACTGTAGACTGCAGGACAAAAATTCATCATGTTTTGGCATGAAGTTTAGCAAATGAACTAAATAACTTAAACATGTTTAGTCTGAAGTTTTAGCAAATGAACTAAATAACTGAAGCATGTTTAGTATGAAGTTTTAGCAAATGAACTAAATAACTTAAGCATGTTTAGTATGAAGTTTTAGCAAATGAACTAAATTACTTAAGCATGTTTAGTATGAAGTTTTAGCAAATGAACTAAATAACTTAAACATGTTTAGTCTGAAGTTTTAGCAAATGAACTAAATAACTGAAGCATGTTTAGTATGAAGTTTTAGCAAATGAACTAAATAACTTAAGCATGTTTAGTATGAAGTTTTAGCAAATGAACTAAATACTTCAGCATGCATTAGCAAAAACTCATTAGAAAATTACATACTGCAAGACAAAAACTTAAGCATGTTTAGTTTGAAGTTTTCGCAAATGAACTAAATAACTTAAGCATGTTTAGTATGAAGTTTTAGCAAATGAACTAAATACTTCAGCATGCATTAGCAAAAACTCATTAGAAAATTACATACTGCAAGACAAAAACTTAAGCATGTTTAGTTTGAAGTTTTCGCAAATGAACTAAATAACTTCATCATGTTTAAACTGAAGTTTTAGCAAATGAACTAAATAACTTCAGCACTCTTGGCAAAATTGTAGACTGCAGGATAAATAACTTCAGCATGCATTAGCATGAAGGTTTAGCTTCAATGTAAATTAACTTCATGCTATATTAGCATGAAGTTTTAGCTTAGTTTCAAGGTGAAACAATTTCATGCAAGTGTGATTTTGAAGATGAATCTGGACAAGTTTCTGGTTTTTTTATAAAGCTGCTGAGAGGAGAGGAGGAGATCTTTTTTCATGAATGAGGTTGCAGATTTATCAGGGGTGTAATTGTCATATTATTACGGAATTTTTGTCAACTGGCTACCAGATCAATAATTTTAAAAAATAGGGTACAAGTTAAAAGGTGGCACAAATATAGAGTACGACTGCGAATCCCCCGCTAATATATTACAGATAGTCACCAGAGAAATTTTATAACGAAAAAGTCACTCAACTTTTCCTAAGTATCATATAAATAATATCGAGTTACCACGATTCATTTACTTTAAATTCCCTACTGAATTTTTGTGATACTTAGGTAGTGTTAAAATGATCTTTTCAATAAAAAAATATTATTTAGTAACTTTTTGTGATCTTTGGTATGAGTTACTTTGTCGTTAAATATACTCTAGAAAAGTAATTAGTATACAAAAATTAGCTAAATATAAATTAAATCATTATTAGTTTGTCACGGCTAAATGCTCAAGTCTATTAGAATTAAAAATTACTGAAAAGCTGAAAATTAATAGACGTCTGAAATTAAAGATGTCAAAGTTGAAAAAAAAGAAAATACGAGAACTGAAGATTGACACAATTATAAACTATGAAATGAAAATGTGATGTTAATGAAGAAAGAGACATACGAGTAATCAAAGATTTATCTTATAACTAATCATATAATAGGTCACTTTGATTATGTATTAATCATCTTACAACTAATCAGAATCATAACTATGATAGATAAGTATACAACACTAGAAAAAGCAAATTAATACAACATTTTATCATGATATACATACACACAAAGTAAACATAAAAAAAAATATTTTACGTCACTAAGAGATGCTTTTACGTTATTTAACAAAAACCATCTTTCAAGTAAATTATGTATAAGCATTTGGTCCTTTGCTATTGTTAACAAAGTCGTTCGACGAAAGTCATTCTATTGGGTCATAGAATGAAAAAGCAAATAGAGTGATCTATACTTGACTGCTAGTGGATTGAATTAGTGAGCTTAAATTAATTAATTACAAACTACTTCAACTAAAATGAAATAAATTGAGAAGAGAAAACAACAACTCAATATTCTCACCAAAAGAAATACTTTACCTCATTAGAAGAAGTTGCTGGACTGTTTTTTTTCCTAATAAAGATAGTTATATTAGATTAAACAGGAAAAGTAGCAGAAATACAAAGGGGAACCGTTCGAGGTGTAACAGCCTTAGAACAATCCTTATTGAAAGCAGGTAAAACAAAGAGTGGGGGAGACATAAAACATAGGGATGCCACGACATCAACAGGAGCTAAAGTTTCAATAATTAACGGACTATAACTATAAGAGAGAGCAAGCTGCAAGACTAATAGTAATGCCATAAGTTCGGCTTCAATAGCGGAAGAGGAAAGCAGAGGCAAAGTGT